TATATATATATATATATATATTGCACAAATTTTTGTTTATATAAAGGTTTTCCCTTATTTCACATATCTTCTCATGTTTCATCCTAAAACAAAAAACATCTTGTATAAATATGTTAAAACTTGAATACATGTATTTATTTTTAGAACTCCTATAACGAGCCTATATCTTAATTGCTATCAGATTTCTTTTATATACAATAAAATATTATCAAAAATTATTTTATTATAATATTTCATTACTAAGATATATAATTATTATTATTTTACATTACAAAACTTTTGTTTTTGTAATAATTCTAAAATATTACTGTTATATGTTGCTACAAGTGTGCTATATATATATATATATAATATTTTGCGGATTTATATCTCTGCAATGTCTTTGTAATGTTGCATTGCAATTTGCAACGTTGCAGCGTTGCTGCAATATAGTTGCAATGAACTGTGCTGTATATACATAGAACGTTTTAAAGAGCAAGTAAAACGGAAACAGCTGTTATATACGTTGGAATGTACATGTCATTCGGGTGCGTAGACATGCGTCGTCTCTCCTCACGTAGGTAGTTGCTGTTATATTTGTCAGTGCAATAGACGCGAAAGTGCGTTCTCATTCGTCTTTTAAAGTTTGCAACGCACATTTAATGATTCTCGTATACAGGATGCGTCACGGGCGGTCACGCATGACAAGAAAGAACCCGAGAGTCGATCAGTACTTTTGTTCTGTTTCTTGAGATCTCTGACAGGCTGTACGTCAAAATTGGACGAAATTTTTGCTCTCATAAAAAAACAAAAATTCCACCTCTATATTCACGCGTTACTGTGCGTTACGCGTCGTCGTTATGTACGTTCTTGCGTGTAAAGATCATAAATACGTAGCACTCGCTATACTCGTGTCACTCGCGTCGTGCTGTGCTGGCTGGCTGTGTGTATATCTATAGCTGATTTGCGAGTGTCTCCCAAAGTACTTGTGAAAACTCGCGAGATAATATCGAGACAGATTGTCTACATTATCACAATCACTGAAAAATCAAGCTGATATGTGTGAGTGAAAAATTCAACAGAATCAACTGTCACACTTGTAAAACATTTGAGTATCCTACTTGCAATCTATCTCAAAAGAGCTAACGCTAAAGTTCTATAATTAGTTTAAACGCTTCAATATGATTTATAACCGCATGTTGTAATTAGAATATTTTACGGATAAATCGCTTTTTAATAAAATAACTGTAAAAATTAAATGCTACTGTAAAAATTAAATGCTAATCAACTACGAGACGGAGATAAGTTGTATATCAGTTTATTACGTGTATATACATCCGGATTATATATATAACAGACGTCACATTGTCACTTAATCTCGTCTCGACATTGATCGTTTCGATATAATTGCGGAAACTTTTGGTAACAAATTAGACGAGTTGAAAATGCACATCGACTGAGTGGAATTTGACCTTTTTACGTTTGAAGAGAAGAAGAGAAACGAAGAGCGACGGATCAGATAATTATATTGAGAAATAAATGGTAAGCCAATCCTGACTAGTCGTTCATTACGTAGTGTCGGCAGAATTATCGAGGTAGAGTGCTGATGTTCTTTCTCTCAGTTTAATTTTGTTTTTTTGTTAATCAAAATTTTGAGTGATCTGTAGTTGATAATTTATAAATTTAGTGGCCATTGATTATTAATTAATTGTTTTAATTACGGATATTTTCTTTCTTCGTCGTATTAGATAAAAGCAACTGTTATCATTATATGATAAGTGTATTTAAAAGAAGATCCCAATTTTTTTCATCATGATTGTCAGAGCTTTATGTGGTGTCTTCACAGGAAGACAGATCATCTCACATACGTCATCTCAGCTACTCAAACATAATCAATATTTGGTAAATATTAATGTCTGTATGATTATTTCTTTGTTATTTATGTAATATATTTGTCATTCTTTTAGGCTGTCAGACAATTAGCCAGAATGTTGTCGGTTCATCATGTTACAAAAAATATTGAGTTTCTTGCCCAAGATACATTTGCTAAGTCAGCTCAGAAGCAGGCTATATATAATTTGAACGTTGCAAACAATCGGCCATTATTAGTTATCTTTACTTGGTTGTTGTCAAAAAGACAGCATGTGATGAAATTTGTCAACTTATACATGGAGCAAGGTTTCGATGTAGTTGTGGTATCTCTCACTCCTTGGCAACTTATGTGGCCTACGAAAGGATCCCGAGTAAGTCCGCACAACCAAGTTGTAGGGTTTAGTTAGTCTATTCGTAGTTGATCACAATTTCTGAAACTTGTTTTTCAGCTAGTAGCTGGGGATTTGTTGAATTTTTTAAAGCAAAACGAAAATTATGAACAAATTTTGTTACACGGATTTTCAGTAGGGGCTTATATGTGGGGCGAGGCCTTAGATTTAATACACAGTGACAAGGAGAAATATAATAACATTACAGACAGGATTGTAGGACAAGTGTGGGATAGTATAGCTGATGTTATGCAAATCCCAATAGGTTTCCCCACAGCAGTATTTCCCAAGAACTTGGTTCTACAGTCTATGCTGCGAAAATATGTAGAGTGAGTGTAACAGAAGTAATGAGATAATGACATGTGTATGTTATGTGTAATGCGATTAATGCAATATAACAATACGAAATAAACGTTACTTTCAGATATCATATGAAGACATTCCATAAACAGGCGACGCAATACTATATTCGTTCTAGTCAAGTGTTTCACACCGGTAGCGTACGTGTTCCAGCATTATTATTCGTAAGCAAAACTGACCCAGTCGGAACCGTAGAAAGTAACATGAGTTTACGTGATACATGGAATTCCTTGGGAATAAAGGTAATATTTGTGTGTTTACATACTGATTCGCAAGAGAATCATACAAAATAAAATACCATACATATTTTTCTTTCAGACTTACGTGAAAATATTTGACGAGTCGCCGCATGTTGCTCACTTCTACACTTATCCGAAAGAATACGTTGCCGTGCTGTATGAATTTTTACAGAAACTGAATCTAATACAAAATGAAGAGAAGATCCGAGCGCGACTTTGAATATTTCAAAAGCAAGTCACACCAATTTTAGCTGATCGTATAAAGTAACATTTTTTTATACAATATATCGACTTTTGTTTGTGGATATATACTTTGTACACTTACAATATTCATCACTACATGTATACATGTAATACATATAAAACAATAAATACATTTTTATATATTCTCAAATTCAAGAAGTCGACAAACAAAGATATTTAAAAAAAAAACAGAAAATCACAGGACACTGCCAGAAAAAAAGCAAATAAATTTTGTTTGTATTAAAAATTTACTTTTTATATATCAGTTATATACATCATATAAATACACATTACATATACAAGCAAACAACAATTTTATTTTGTTTGTTCTTCATTTGCATTCTTTTTTTTGTATTTTTTACGTTTTTTCTTTTTTTGTTCTTCCAAAAGCTTCTCTACCTCATCCGGATCCTTACCTTCTAAAATTAATTTCTTTCGTTTATTGATTAATTTCTTTTCGTAAAAGTCAGTCTCGTCCAATCTAATCTCTGCCTCCCGTTTTGCTACCGATATTTGAGTCAAGATCGTAACTATTTCTTTATCTAAAACCGATTAATAAACAATGAATATCAATCAATAATCATCGTGAATTGATTCCGATGTTTCACTTCTTATTGAGAAAGAGCAGAAGCTCGAAGCAAAACGATATACTTACCGTCTACCTTGTACTCTGTCAATTTAGTGCCTATAGTGTCCTCGATCGCATGTAATAACTTGATATCGTTTGGCGTTATCAAGCTAATTGCCATACCGCATCTACCTGCGCGAGCTGTTCTACCGACTCTGTGAATGTACTCTTTCGGCACATTTGGTATCTTATGATTGATGACTAATTGCACCGTTGGAATGTCCAAGCCTCTTGCCGCGACGTCAGTAGCGATTAAAATTTGAATGTGATTAGATTTGAATTTATTTAACGCAGCTAAACGTTCCCTCTGCTTTATCATCGCGTGAAGAGCTACGTTCGTAAATCCCACATCGTTCAGTGCCATTGACAACAGCTGACAGTTTCTAAACATATGCAACAAAATTAGTAATCATAATTTATTTAATTTACAGTAAAATCTGCGGATAACTTTTGAAATAATTTTGCCTTACTTGCAGGTATCTGTAAATATCATAATAGAACCGTTCTTGTTCGTGGAATAAAACATCCTAATTACTTCTACCAAAAACGAATCAACCACATCTTTAGGACACAACACATAACGTTGATCCAATTCCTTTACAGTGGCGATGCCAGCATCATCCTCTTCTTCCCATATGTGAACCTAAAAGCAGCTTTAACTTTCCATTTCTGTGCTGGGATACAATTTGGTATAATGTAGGAATATATTCTTATATTATAGGAATCTTTCACTTATTGTATTCTATATTAAAGAAATAGATATGTAGTATGAAGAAACATTTATACCTTACTAGAAGCCAAGTGTTTTACTTTATCAAGTGCATCTGTCATTGTAGCACTGAATAATAATACTTGTTTCTGCTTGGGTACTGCAGCAAATATCGTTTTTAGCTGCTCGTCAAAATGACCGCCCAGCAATCTATCAGCTTCGTCCAGTACTAAAAATTTAATTCTCTTCAAAGAAAATGTGTCACAACTGTCCAAATGATCTGCCAGTCGACCTGGTGTAGCTACAACTATATGTGGCCGTTTGGATAATTCTAATCCTTGAACCATCATATCCATACCACCAACAACCACACATGTTTTAACATTGATAGCTTTACCAACAACATTAAATTGATCAGCAATCTAAAATTTACAAAATAACATTGTTAATATAATATAATTTATATTGTGTTATAAGCACAAGTAGGAAAAAGTTCTTATATATGATAATTTATATGAAACACATGTGAAAAAATTGATTAAAATATTAAATTTTACCTGGAAAGCTAATTCTCTTGTTGGTGTCAGCACAAGAGCAAATATGCCATATGGATCCTCACATAGCTGTTGCAAAATGGGTAGAGCAAATGCAAGAGTCTTACCGCTTCCTGTCTTGGCACAACCTATGCAATCTTCTCCATTTAATATATGGGGAATGCAATTTTGCTGAATCAGAGTAGGCTTTTTCAAACCTACAACAAAAAACACAAAAATGTCAAATAACATTGTGTTGCAAAATTATCAATAATTCAATATCTCACAAACACTATATTTTCGGATGTTTATTTCATAACGTTAAAGATTCCTTTGTAAATTATAATTATAAATTATTTACCCATAGACTCGCATTGTTTAAGAAGCCAAGAATTCAGCTTTAAATCTGAAAAATTTGTTATCTCTTTACTCATTATCTTCTCAATTGTTTGAAAGAAGTTACAACTTCTTCCTCCACCATGTGATTGTGTCAAGCCTGTGTGAGAGGTTAGATTAGATTTTTAAAGGCAAAGTCGGAAACACACGGACAATCTCAAGCAGAAGTGAATAGACCAATTACAGACGAACAATGTAAAGGAACATTTTCTTTAAAACTTGTTCGTGATTGGTCGATTCGCTTACTACCAAATATCACTTGAGTGAGAAGAGGAGAGAGAGCAGTTATTACTTTTCCCTTCTTATTATATATAACTGTATATAAATAATTTCATTCGTTTCGTAAGTGTTAGTGAGTGACGAGCCCACGTCTGGTAGTCTGGTCACGTGTTCAGTCACAATTCAGCATGGCGAGAGAGAATGTAGTGTTCACATCAAGTTAATTCTTCCAAACCTCTTGTTCATTTTCACATTCTGCTGCAGTGTCAGTGACTGTGAAACATATCCAATTCGGGCATTCTATTTTTTATTTTCTATTTTTCATAGCAAGCAGTCGTGTGTAAAGTCATTCAATTTCAGCATATTTTTTAATCACGGTGAAAGTACACATTTTTTTCATCTCATAATCCAAAGTCCTCGACATATTCTTAACTTCATATTACCGTAATTTATTAATTAATGCTTTGCATTTGACACATTCCGAAAACTCGACGATCCGCTTCATATTTTTGATTTTCCGTGATTATACTGAGTGCTTACTACGATGAACAATACGGAAAAAAATGACGTAATCCGCGTTGGATCTCGAAAGAGTGAGGTAGGTATTTAAATTTTACTGTATTCGAGAAGATTACAAGGAATTTACATCCGATTTCCGTCTAACGAAGTTTTCCCCTCGCGGTTACGAAATCATCGACGTGTATCGCGTGCTTTGCTCTAGAATTAAAGCAATTGTGCAATTTTGTGTTTATTACGGTAAAGATTACATACATAGTTGAGGGTTTATCTTTAATGACAGATCTCTCTTATGACTACAAAAACAATAATTTTGCATTGTCATCGCGTAGACTCGTGTACGAGATACTATGTGAGATTGATTACTCAGCAGATTTGGTACATATCTAATCTTATATTTAAAAACAATTCAATTACATAATGTTGAAATCTTGTAATGTGCATTATTTTTCAATTATAAAATTGAATTGTCTTATATGAAAGAATTCTTAGCGCTTATATATTGCAATGTGAAACATCAATCATTATTTTAAGAAAATAATGTATTTTATTTTGTTTTTAGTTGGCTCTGATACAAACTAAACATGTAATAAAATGTTTAAAGGAAATTCATCCAAAAAAAGAATTTGAAATAGGTAAGTTATATATAATGTTTTTTTAATTTGAAATAGATAAGCTATATATAATTCTTTTTTAATGTAGTATCTAATAAAATTTCTTTTCACCTTTCTCTTCTTGTCTTTCCTTCTTATGTTTGAACTATATAATTTATTTTGTGTAATCCAAATATCTTTGTAAGTCATCATGTATATTTTATGAAACATGTCAAAATAATTCATTATTATCTGGCAAGATGGATTTTGTCTGTATAATTGTATTATTTTCACATTTATGATCAAATTACAGTAACAATGAATACCAAAGGGGATAAGATTCTGGATAAATCTCTACCAAAGATTGGAGAAAAATCTTTATTTACTGAAGAACTAGAATTGGCTTTGGAAAACGGTAATGTTGATTTTGTGGTGCATTCATTGAAAGATTTACCCACTACATTGCCTAATGGAATGGCTCTAGGTGCAATATTAAAGTAAGTTTTTCATTTCTCTTTGATTATCTTAAATTTTCTAATATTGAGAAACTATATTACATTTTCTTCTTTCCAACACACATTACACTTTTGTCTACACATTTATTTGTTGCGCAAAAGCACTTGAGTTACCTATTGTTTCAAGATGGAGACACACAGTTTAAATTTTTATGAGCAAGCATATTATCATTCTCATGAAAGAAACATGTGTATTTATATGTAGAATGTTCCATCTCGCAAGAGTGCATGGTGTAAACAATATCACAGTGCTTATTTCTACACTATCTTGTAATTTGAAAATTTGTTATAATATTGTTAACTTAAAAGTAGTAGAATAAGTAGTAACTATGTTTAATCTCTGAGAAAGTTATTTGATGAAAATGTTATAATACACAATATAAATTTTATATTAGCAAAAATATCACCTTTAAAAGTATAATTTTTTTTTTACAGACGTGAGGATCCACGTGATGCAGTAGTCATGTCAAAGAAATTTGAAGGTCAAACGCTATCTTCTTTACCAAAAGATAGTCTTATAGGTACTAGTTCCTTACGAAGATCGGCGCAGCTTGCACGGAACATGCCACATTTAAAGGTAGAAAATATTCGTGGAAACCTAAATACCAGATTGAAAAAGTTAGACGACGAAAACGGTTCCTATGCCGCAATAATATTAGCTGCCGCTGGTTTAAAAAGAATGGGCTGGGAAGACAGGATAAGTCAAGTGCGATTGTTTTTCAAATTTGCTAATATATTTTTTATAAAAACTCATTACGTTAATATTGTACGTTTTCTTGCAGATTTTAGAACCCGAAGAGGCTCTCTATGCTATCGGTCAGGGTGCATTAGGTGTCGAATGTCGAGAAACCGACTGGAAAATACGTTCTCTCTTAGATCCATTATTTGATGTAGAAACTACAGTAAGATGTGTATGTGAACGTTCGTTCTTAAAAACTCTTGGTGGTGGGTGTTCCGCACCAGTCGCTGTATCATCGTCATTAAAGAAGAATGAATTAACAATTACTGGTGCTGTGTGGTCTCTGGATGGCAAGACTGAAATTACAAGCACTTGTAGCTGTAAGTTGTATCTACCTGACGATGATGGTGAACCCCCACGGTGAGTTGAAGATGATTTTTAATTTTAAATAGAGAAAAATTGAAAAATAACAGTTTATTTATTTCGTATTTAATTTTTCAACGATAGGAAATGTCCATATCAAGAGCCCCGTCTTTACTGTAGCGTTGTTACTGGTAAAGTAAGCAGTTTAAGTCTTGCTGGCGCAGAGCTATTAGGTGAAGATTTAGCTAAAAATCTTATAAAAAATGACGCTCTCGATGTAATGTTGAAAGCCAGAAATGAAATTTTGGATTCGAAATAAGAGTTTCGTGTGTTAACCGTTTGAGTCCCAAGCAGCGCGATCGCGCTGTTGAGATTTTATGTCGAGAAAACCCAGCACATTTCGAGCAAAGCGCGGTTGCGCTGTTTGGGATTCTTCGACAGTGTTTTTTCAATATCCCCTGGGACTCAAACGGTTAAAATATAGCTAATTTATATTTTGATTTTTTTCTTGATAGCCAGATTATGTACTTAAAAAATATTTACATTTGTATGCAAAGTGACAATTATCAATAATCGTTTGACCTTCATAATTTCATTTATATGTAAATATATATATATATATCTAATTTGTGTGTAAATATATAATTTTTATTTATATTTGCTCAAGATCAGAAACTTGATCAATATCAAAAACTTTGATTGAATTATGACTTATTATTACTGGTTTTCATTTCTTTTGTGTTCCGTGTTTCACACAAAAAGTACAAAACAATATAATATATACGATAGTATAATTTGTTTAAGGACAACTGATTTTCTTTCATGTAACTGTAAAAATAACTCATCACATTCCGAGGATCGAATCCCATCTTTTTTATGATATTGCTAGCTTTGTTTCGTACATTGTTATTGTTTTTTTTTTATTTTTTTGCTTTTGGCGCATCGTAGAAAAAGATCTAAAAAATTTTTTGGATTTTTTTGGAAGATGAACAACTTTACAGATCCTTATATAACCAGCCGAATTCATTTCAGTTGTCCTGCGAATCCTACTATACTAAAAGTTTTACAAAGTTCTGCGTTTTTACAAACATATAGTGTACAATAATGTACAATAGTGTATTTGTGATGTGTGAAGATCATTGCATGTTAAATGATATATAGTCTATTTCGTAATTTATCATGTTTAAAAAAGCAACTGTTTATAAAAATATTGTTAAAGATATTTTTATATATTGCAACTCAATATTTATTGTGAAATAGAAACTGCCATGTTTAGGATCACTAACAGTTGTAACACTTCCATTTACAATTAGGTAAAATCAATTTTAATCAAGTTTTATATGCCGGATTTATAATGTTAAAACGATTCTAGAAATCTTCCTTCAATTTTTCATTTTATAAAGACAGTAAAATTTCAAATATTTAATTGAACATATATATGTTTAAACTTTTGATTATTTTATTATCGAGATATTATCGAGAATATATACGTACAATTACGAAATACTATGGGAAAAAATTCGATTTTCTCCTTCTTTTTTAATATATTAGATTTTTTTAACATATTAGTATTGTTATTTGTAAAATATTATTATCTAATTAATATTGTTATTTATAATATAAATATACAATATTAATTAGATAATAATATTTTCCAATATTAATTACGTATTGATTATGAAGATGTTACATGTTATGAGACATGTATGCGACTAATTATTTAAAAGTGGAAAATTAAGGTTTAACAAAAGAACTTTATATAATATTATTACGTGGTAATAAAGAAGTTTATATTTTTACTTCTCAATATGTTACTTTGTTTATACAACCTAACCAGTAAGTTTAAGGATTTTGTAGATATGTATGAATTATTAATTTTGTGTAAGGAATTTATCTTAAAATAACAAAACTTAATTAATAAACACGTCTTATATAGCTTTTATTCCTTCCGTTAATGTTTTTGTTTAATACAGCTTTAAATTTGTTATAATATAGAAATCGATAAGTTTCCATTTTTTTTAGAACAATACCTTTATACAAGAATATAACTTCTCACACGTACAGGGACAGGTATTTGCAAAGTATTTGTTCGTTATAGTAACCACCGGAAAGAACAATATACACTTATATGTTTAAAGTGATCCATATATATATATAAGTGTATATAGTGTATATACACATATAAACTTTAGATTATCTACAAACTTTGCATATATCTTTGCGCATATTTATATAGCGAGATTTACAATAATCTCTTTGTAAGTGCTTTCGGAATATAAGATATATATTTTTGAAGATAATTTCATATTTGTATATTAAATGCGTGTATATCCGACATCATAGCTTAAAAGATTGCTATCAGATTTGTAAGAATTGTACAGTTTGTACAGTTATCTTTTCATATTTGCTACACACAAAGTAAGGCAACACATACATTGTTCATCACTTCTGCAAATTTAACAGTGACGACATATTCTATTAAATACAGCAAATAAGAGCATACAACAAAGATTTTTTTTATTTCAGTGCTAATTCCTAAACATGTTCCTTAGAATTAGACTGAACAAGTAAATATACAAGCTACTTTGAAAGAGAAGTATCATATTTTGTTAAGCTAATTTGTATAACTCTTCTAACAAAAAAAAAGTATAAATATTTATAAATTATGAAAAACTCTGTACTGGAAAATAACAGTGGAAATATAAACATGTGTAAAAAATATTATTGTAGAATTGTATTTTTTTCCAAAATATAAATTAATACTGATCATCAATCGAAAGTCTCCCTGTGCATGTATATGTATTTTCAGGATTTAAAATCTATTAAAGTTGAACATTTAAAAACTGCAAAATGTGATAGTGAACATGTTTACTATGAAAAAACATTTAGATTTTCTTATATTAACTAGACATTTTTCTCAGATTTGTTACAAATGAATAACAAATAATTCAATTAGTATCGCAATTAATGGGATTTAAAACTAGATCATCATCCGGCAAGTTTCATCTATTCAAAATGATCAAAATTACTGTTTAAGTAAAATTTATTTAAACATAGAAATATGAAAATTATTTCTGATAAACAGAAAAACATTGAGTAATATTCATAAAAATTTCTTATACAGCTCAGAAATAAGTAAATCTGTTTCAAGGAAAATGGAAGTTTATCAAAGGATGGCAAATTATATATTATGTATAATCATAAGATTACTTCTGTTTCAAGATATTAATTGTTTGCACCTGTATTTTTTGTGCAAAGATGATAAATATAGACAGTCACTAACTTCAGGTTTTATTTAAGAACTAATAATAATTTGTTTATTAATCTACTCAACATCTTCCTCTGCCATTTGAGTTTGTGTTATCAATTTCTGTAAAAAAGAAGATAGAATAAAAATGTTATCTAGAGATCTTAAGATATTGTCTAACTCAAATATGAGATTTTTTGCTGTTAAGATATAAAACTATCTTAAAACAATTTAACTAGTAAAAATTTATACCTGGTTGACGATTGGTAATCGCTGTGCCAGAATCTGGAAAATTGGTGGTGGCAAAGTTTTTTGAAGAACTGACAACAAGTGTTCAGGTTGTCCACACACTGCTACTGCATTAGCTAAATGTTCAATTCCTGTTTCTACTTCACCACAAGCAAGCATCTCTTCTCCAAGTTGTACCTATATTTGGCAAATATAATAAATAAATATTTTGTTGTATATTATATACTTCAGAAAAGAGAGAAAGCTTAGAATTATAATTATATATATTTATGTACAATCTAACACATTGCAAACTCAAAACTTATCTTAAAAGAATTGCTATTTACCTCTTGTAAAAAGAATTTTTGCACTAATTCACGATCCCTCAGATCTAATATTCTTGATGAAGCCTTTTGTGCCTGTTTTTTGGTTTTTCTGCCTGTAAAATAAAGAGATGGTTTTTTTTCATCTAAAGCAAGCTAAAAATATATTTTATATATATATATTCTAAATTATAATTTAAAAAATTTGTCTCATCTGAGAAAATCTTATTACATCTTATATTGCACTGTAAGATGTAATAAGATATGACAATTTGTGAATAAATATTTTTTCGACACATCTAAAAAGGAAGAAAAAGCATGCACGTGCAAAATAAATTTATGCGAGTTTCAAAGTAATTGAAATCGGACTGATGTATTGGACAAATTCATTTTCGCTTTTGAGAAAAAACGACAATAGACATTCATCGACAAATATCATAGTGACAATATCGCGCATTTCTTACATGAGAAGAGTGGATGAATTAAATCGAAAACAAAAAAGAACACTAGACTTACGTTCACGGAGCTTCTTTTTGAAGTCGGGATCACTGCGGCGTTTCTGATCGAAATAAAAACAGTAGCCAACGAAAATCCCGGCAATGCCGACGGCAATGCCTACCGCAGCTTTTGACATCATGGTCACTACAGAATATAATTTCCTATTATCGTTATCAAACACTCACAAGTTCCTTGCCGCACACTCGGCCATCATAGAAAAGGTTGCTTAGTTGCTTTCGTTCTCGTGCGTGAACTCATCCGCGTCAGGTATGTCAGTCTCAAATCATGAAAAACCCTAAGCGTACGTTACCACGGCCAGTTGTTCAATGCGATTGGTTAATTCGCTAGAAAACAGTTGTAAACGAAACTTTATCACGTTGTTGACAGTCGAATGAGGATTTTCAAACAGGCGTAAGAATTTGTTAAAAGCCGCTGTGAGAAGTCAAATCGAAGACACAGTATACACTGTGGCCAGGCCGCTCTCAGCTTCGATCAGCTTCTCTCTGATAATTGATCAAAGATGCCATTGTCATGGAAACCTATGCGATACGCTCATCAAGAAGGACACACCGATGTTTGTTATTATTCCGGCGAAAAGTAAGTAGCATTGGGTGTGTATGTGTTGTTTCTATATATATATATATATATATATATATATACATATATGCTGACAGTTCTTTTGTAAATTTTCTTATATTAAAAACATTTCTGTGTCATGATAGAAGAGGCCTTGTTACTTGTGGATGTGATGGAGATGTTCGATTCTGGTTAGATTTAATGGACGATGATCCAATTACCAGTTGCATTTCAGAACAAGCAATCACTGCCATTTCAAAGGTGATAAAGGATTAATATGATAATAAAAAATTAATTACTGCAATTTGTACAGTTATATATAATGTTACTAAAACTGTTTTTTTATTTGAATTGTTCTTGCAAAAAAATTGTATATCAAACTTTTAAACAGTTGGAAGAATAACTTTTTCTGGCCGTTGATTTTAGAATGGAAAGATTTTTGTGGGAAATGATAATAATACTGTACAAATACTTACTTATCCTGACCTGGAAAAAGAAGGGATAATTACTAGATTTGCAGCACCGGTATCAGCATTGACAACTGCAAGAAATAGCAATCTGATAGTATCTGGTGCCTGGCAAGTAACATAAAACTTGTTATTTAATATTATACATTTATATAAAAATACAATGAAGGAGTATTTATTTTAATTTACTTTTATTTCTTATTTTCTACAGTGATATGCGAATACAAGTTACAGACATTAACACATCAGATAGCACTGAACTAGAAGGTCATCAAGCGCCTATTTTAGGTTTATCTTTGGATCCCAAAGAAGAATTTGTTGTAAGTATTTTGTAAGTTTCTCAAGTTTTGCAATATATATGAGAGAAAAGCATTGTAAATCTTATTTAAGCTAACTTATCTAATGTTCTCAGGCATCTTCTAGCGCAGATGGATCCATTAGAATATGGAATATTAAAGAAAAGCGAACTGTACATACTTGGAATAACATTGTACCAAAATCTAATTCCTTTTTTACTGCAAAGTCATACTGCATACCATCGTTTAAGTGTACAGACGGTAGTTATCTTGCGTATCCAAATAATAAAGATGTAATAGTAGTGGAGAGATCATCCTGGAAAGAATTGTACAGACTGAAATATCCAAATTTAAAGACTGTAAGTTACTGACTCTTGATTTCATTTCATATTAATAGAGTAATTGACTATGAGTTGTTTCTTTTTTTTCACATAGGAACTCAGCATTTGCAAATTTTCGGAATGCGGTACGTATATCGCCGCTAGTTCAATACATGGAGAGGTAATTGTTTGGAACGTAGAAACTAAGGAAGTAATTGGGTATCTGGAACATGAACAAGACACAAAAATTACTGCATTAGTATGGCATATAGATCATTCCAATGAAATTGCGTTTTGCGATGCATTGGGGAAATTAGGATGTATTAATGTGGTAAGAAAAATATTTCATATAAATGTTTCTCAATATTGTTCAGATCAAATTTGATAAATCTAGAAATGCACAGGAGATACCACCTAATTCGGAAAAAAATGAAGATGCATTAGGAAACAATATTATCGTTACGGATGATAATGATGACGACGACGGGGAGAATGTAATATCTTTGAACAAAATTAAATCGTCTGTTAATGTGGAAGATGATCAAAATAGTCAGTCCGACGTAGCCTCTGTAAAATCATATGATACAAAAGCGGTTCCATTGCCTACTGTAAAGCTGCAATCGTCTTTCCAACCGGGATCAACGCCTTCTCATTTATTATCGTATTTCATGGTGCAGTAACAATACTTTAATACTATTGCATTTTTTTTTTATAACATTTTTATCTCGAAAATTAAGCTTAATCTCTATCCGCAGGTGTGGAATAACATAGGAATGGTCAGATGTTTCTCATCGGAGGACGGAGAAGAATGCAGCATCGAGGTAGAGTTTCATGACACCGCGGTTCATCGCAGCATGCACATAAATAATTATTTACGACATTTTCTCGCTGCTCTGTCCACTCAAGCATTGGCCTTGAGCTGCGCAGCTTCTGAAGATGAGCCTAGTAAAGTTGTTGTAATAGCTCTGCAAGGTTTGTCTGTTACATGTACAGAAGATATTACAGATTATTCAGATGAAACAATATTTAACAATTTCCGTTATATCAGGTTGGGGTTCTGGAAATAAAGAATGGTCTGTGGATCTGCCAGAAGGCGAAGAGAGCGAATGTCTGGCGGTCGGTGATAATTTCGTAGCAGTGGCAACGTCTAGGAGAAACTTGAGATTATTCATGATAGGAGGAACACAGCGTGAAATCTTGGCTCTGCCCGGACCCGTGGTGGCGATGAATGGTTTGGGAAATCATCTTGTGATAGCTTATCACGCTGGCATTGGTAAAATATTTTTATTTATATGTATATTTATTTTTACAAATTCGTAAGGTCTTATAGCATCAAACTAACAAAGAGTTTTTTGATTAATGCAAGCCATGTGCTGGATGTACGTGTGTATAATATATTTTTAAACGTGTGTAAATTGTTACGCATAATAACTCAAATTAAATTCAATTCAAAAATTCATATTGGAATCTTTCTTTTTTTAATCGAATAGGTCCAACCGATGATCAGCATCTAAATTTATTGTGGATACAAATACAAGGAGCGCAGTTACGTAGCCAAACTTTACAGCTTCCGCTTTCACCGGCTTCGGAGCTCATGTGGTTGGGATTATCGGACGCTCGCTCTCCTACCTTGATAGATTCCGACGATATTGTCCGAATGTACGACAGAAAATCTGCCCAATGGAGAGTGCTCTGTGATATAAATACAGTGGTATTGCAAAATTACGGATGTGAATTCCTCGACGATTTGTATATGTGTGTGACTGTAAGATTTTGTTTTAGGGTAAAGGTAAAACGGATCACTATTTTGTAATCGGTATAAGCGAAAAACAACGGAATATGCAGTGTATTCTCTGCAAGGGCAGTTATTATCCACCAACGACTCCGCGCCCGATAGTCACCGAAGTGCCTCTGTCCTCGCCTCTCTGCGAACCGGAATCTAAGAAAACTGAGACAGAACGTACATTGTGGGAAATAGGAAACAATCCGTCCGAAGAAATTCAGACGCTATTAACGTTAATAGCGGTAAGTAAATTTCGAGTGCTGCTACATTTGTTTCTACTTTGATATATTTCATTATCAGATATCGTTCAGTGATATAACACGATTCTGCTTTTTTGCTGAATTTTGCTGATTAATTTATCGTTCTTGTAATCAGCTTGCCTGTAGAAGCGATTTGGAATATCGTGCGGTGGATATCTGTGAACAAATTGCATCGCCACAGACGATAGATTTGGCTATACGATACGCCCAGCGTATACACAAAATGGCATTGGCAAATAAATTGGAGACAATTGCCAATGAAAAATCCGAATCGAATGATGATTCAAAGAACGGAAATACAGAAAATCATCAAGATAATTTCGCAAGCAACAGCAGTACCGATTTTCCTAGTCAAGAAGAGGACGAGATATCTTTACCAGCTATCAAAAAACCGGAAGTGGAGATCAAGCCGTTGTCTATGACGATTAAAAGAGTAAATCCATTTTTGAAAACGGGAAATTCGTCTTCATCACCGAAAGGTAAATAACGCTAATAATTTGTTTTTTTATTTCATAAGATATATTTGTTTTTATTTTACTATATTTATAATTAATACTGTATATATAACTACTGTATATATACTGTATATATAATAACCAGCTAAACCTGTAAATATATATATGTATATATTTACAGGTTTAGCTGGTTTAAACAGTTTGCCCGAAAAGTCTCAAAAACCCTCAATATTAAACAAAACTACGCCTATCAAGCCGAAAACAAAGACTGAATCCAAGCAAGAGTCGTTCATTGCTTGGCACGCTAAAAATAAAAAGAATCTGATGGAAGAATTTCCCGACAAAGGAATTGATGAATTGACGAAAATCGGATTTGCACGGTACAAGGAGCAGATGTCGCAGTCGAACGCGGACAACACTGAATCTCCAGAACTTTCCAAGAAACGAAAATTACCGAGTCCGGAGAAGGAAGAGAATAACGAGGCGAAACGAAGTGTCAGCAGTAAACTCAGCAAATTTGCATTCGACAAGTAACTGTTTTCTTCGTTACGAAAATGGTTTTTAATCCAATCACAAACTCTGCGAGAGTATCTGATATTTGTACATGTAATTATTTAAAAATTCTTTTAACGAAACAACGCTGAAGTGTCTTTTGTATCAAGAGATCAATGAGAAAGGAATGCAATTAAACATTTTTTTTAAGTTTGAGAAAGTTGTATATATATTACACATTATTTATGGCTTTTTTCTATATTAGTTGACATTATACCAACTTATAGAGAGGATCTGTGTCTTTCTCTTAATATCCGCGTATTGTCAGAAAATCTGTTTAAACAGTTACATTTGCATTTTACATTTGCATTTTCAAGAGTTCAAGAATTTCTTCACACAGCAAAAAAAAATGATGAAAGATTGATTTCTTTATCGAATGGAATCGTTCGTTTTTCGTTGAAACTGACAGAAGATGGGTCAAGGCCAAGTTAATTCAACAAGTGGATAATGATCGGATACATAAGTTTGTATCTTCGAGGTGTTAAGTGCGCGCTGCCGTGTGCATTCCTTAACGTCGATAAGGCAGAATGATGGCAAACTTAAGAGATCTGTTTTTAGTTTGTCTCGGTCTTCCGTGCGTTCGACACCGTGATACAACGGCGGCGGCGGTAGCAGTAAAGCGTTTCGCGTCGATCCGAAAATAAATTAGTAGTCGGCCGCAACGAGTAACAATTGGCCGAATAATGAAAGGTAAGTTTCGTTTTTCTTGGTGTGTCACAGACATATTTATCTTTAAAATATGACTTATATGATAACGGACACGCGGCTAAATACACAATAAGTAGCCAGTGTGCGTGACACGCGTGGTTTTAATTGCATTGCCGTGATGACTAGTTTTCTGAATACATTTTCTAACAAGAATAAGTATACTTGTCCATTCATCGCGTTCCCAATTTTAAATACGAGATGCACCGTGACGGTGCCAAGAAATGTATGCAATTTGCTGATTTTTTATCTATTGTTTTTTCCATGATAGAGAAAGTGTGTTGCGCGGTACATGTGTGTGTTTAGTTTTATTTTAAATTCTTAGAAGTCACACCCATAAATACATATAAATATGTACGTATAAATATATATTGCTATACAATTTATTGTGTAATTTAATAAATCATATAATGAAAAGGTCATCGTTTTACATTTAAAAAATGTAAAACAGGTGGAACTCGTGTTTGACATTTTACGGAAGTCTTATTGTAAGTCTCTTCATGTCAGTCGCGTGTGAAAAATATCTCATTTAAAAAACATTCAACTTGTTTCCTTACTCATGATCTTAATTGAATAAAACACAGTTACATATTGATAAAAACACTATTTCTTAATAAATATTGATTAGTAATAAAACTTTCTAAAAACAAATTTTATTGTAATATAAAACAAATAATGAAATACTTTTTAAAAGAGAAAAAGAAGAGAGAGAGAAAAAAAGATATTTTATACATGTATGTGTGTATATGTTGTGTATTTTTTAAAAGTAAATATCGTAAAGATATTCTCATGTATCTTTTATGAGAAGAACAATAAACATCAGTATTGTTACCACTAATTTATATACAAATAAATTCTTAAGTCTTTTGTACAAAAAATTAATTGCTTTTGCATGACTTGTTACTCATATCTTACAAGCGAGAAAGAGTCAGGCGCTGTAAATATTATTTCTTATATTTTCTAGCAAGTGCTCGCTAACGTAAAACTGGATTTTAATATTAAAAAGAAATTTTATTGAAGAGCACACATGCAAGGTGACATTCAGAAAAGCTGGCGCGAAATCGGTAATTACCGAAATCGGAGTTACTGTTAATGTTCTGTTGATTTGAAATTTTTCTTCAGCTAACTAACATTATTATTGTTATTAATGTGATCGGATTTGAATATCTATTTTAATTTCTAGCATTATTTATTACATAATTTAACGTTAACTCACAAATTAGATCGCGACTGTGTAAATATTTTGTTTCCTTTCACTGTCGTATTTACAAATTTTTTGCCATGTTAACATCGATAAAAAAATACTCCCTAACGCGTTAACTGACACGCCGAGTTTGTAAGCGTCTTTGGTGCATGGATTTTTAAACGTAATTATTAAACATAATTGCTTTGTAATACGTATAACCTATAGAAATATATTGTAACAATCGCTTTTCCGTAAGACATTATTTTCAGTCATATTGTTACTGTATATAGTGTTATCTTATCAAACAAACAAGATAAATGATGTTACTAAATTGCAACTTTTGCGTGACAATCACCGTTTTTTAAAAAATTTTTTAATAAAGTTATCGCAAAAGCTTGTAAACACTAAGACTATATGGTGCACACGTGGCAATATTATATTTGTATATGAAAAGCAATTCTTCTTGTACGTTTCGCAAGAGTATTGTTGTGAAAATAAAGAATATATTTATGTTATATTTTTAAAACAGTGTGTAATAATATACAGTGTAAATGTTACACACGGTTTCTTAACTAGTAATATATATACAGCAATAAAAATTCTACTCTAGTTTTTAAAAGCCAAAAATGTTATCAGATACAAGACAAGCGATAAAGATATTTTAAAAGTAAACTATGTACGCGTGTACAGAGTTCACTTTATTTGCTAACTATGCACAAATCTTCATCGCTTTGTGTACTTCTTGTATATTTCTTTTCTTTGTTGCTTCTTATGTATATATTTTAATAATTCCCATTCTTTTTATTATCTGTCACTTGCTAATGTATATATAGTCCACATAATTGTTCTGATATATTTATATAAAGTGTTCTTATGTTCTCTTCAGACGATGATACACATCGCATTGCATTTAAGAAGAAAATTTTTCTCGGGGAAGATATGTTCATTATTTATTATCATAAAAATCCGAACTACATGTCATAGTTATTATTAGTATCATAGCCTTTTGTTAGGTTTTTTTTTTTTTTAACTTTCAATTTGTGGATTTATCGCAATAAGATCTTGTGCGTGTTCTTGGCTCTTTCAAAATATTAACTTACGCGGTTTTTGCGGTTACACGATAAGGCTGCTGTATCAAGGATTTGCGGTTCTTGTTACAGTTGCGTGCACTTATTATGTTACAAGTTCGAATATATATGCGATATGCGTGTGCATATATTATATGATCATTGGGCGGTAAATAACATTTGTAATGATATTAAATAGATATAGTTTTGTTTAAGATTTTAATTAAATATGATTATGGCGTGTTTTTTTCACGTTATACATTTAAACTGAAAGCTTGCGATAAGTATGTAACTGTTTACAACAGATATTTACGGGTTTACGCATATATGTAGGATTTTTATCATTAGACATGTTTTAAAAAACCTATCGTTAAAATATTTTTTAATAGTTTTTTTTAGGACATTCTGTACACTGTGTCTAATACAAATAAGAATTACTAATTGCAGAAATATATTGACGAATTTGGTTTGTGGTACTTGCGGTTTAGATTAGAATCTGTTGCATACGCAGCGATCAATAAAAGCTAATATCCTCTGCAGAATTATTAATTATTAATTAATCAATTAATTATTATTATTATTAACGTTATATTCTCTTATATATAGTTTTCCTCCTTGTTTTTATGTAAGACAATGTGCGTGAATTAAAATATTGTACACACAGCATATAAAATTCTTGTGTTTTCAAGATTGGTTTTTAGCAAACTAAACATAACATGTATTTTATGTTATACGCGCGACTTGGTTTTCTCGTTTGTATCATTTATTCTATTATTCTACAGGTCTCGTGCCATTGGACCCCATCCAGGAGGCAATGGGCTCTATGGGCCCATGGCACGTTGTGATCGCAGTGGCTATTTCTCTCGTCAAATTTCCAGTCGCATGGCATCAGCTGTCAATCGTATTCCTCGCACCACCTACCAATTTTTCATGCAACTCGCCATTACCAAATAACACTCATGAATCTGTGTTCATGAAATGCGAAGTCGATTTGGGCAATGGCACTATAGAAAAATGCACCGAGTTCAGATACGATAAACGAATATTCCGAGAGAGTATTATAACACAAGTTGGTTGTTATATTTGTAATGATATTTGATAATCGTTGACGATCCATATATTTATTGAACTCTGATGTCAGAAGCAGAAAATTGTATGAATTATGAATTATATTACGCAATAATTTATAACAGATCGAAATGTCAGATAAATGCATTATTGTTTTCATAAACTTTCATCGACATTCGATAATATAGGTAATTTTCATATTATTTCTCTCGCTTCTGATGTCACAATTGTTTGATATAGCTTTAATGACTTTTAAAACTCAATATAATTTAGTCTTTTTACTATTAACAACAAAAATTAGTGATTCTTTCGTCAATTAATATATTTATAAGTAAGAAAATTACATTATACTAATTCTTTTCAGTGGAATCTGATATGCGATAGAGAACAACTAGCAAATGTTGCGCAATCCTGTACAATGTTCGGTGTTCTTATTGGCAATTTAATATTCAGTATACTGGCTGACAGGTGTGTTAATTGTTATTCACGAAATTGCTAAGATATTTTACTATGATGATATGACACAATAATTTTTACAGATTTATATGTTATATAAATAATATGTTATATGATTATAATTTTTCTCAGTTTATTAATATCAATATTTTTATTTATACAGAATTGGCCGAAAAAAACCACTGATGATTGCAATTGCATTGCAATCGTTGACAGGATTTGCGAGTGCGTTTGCGCCGTGGTACGAATTGTTCTTGATATTAAAATTTATTTGTGCCTTAGCTACTGGCGGAACAATGCTCGTCAGCTTTGTCTTACGTAAGTTAAACGTAATTAAAATTACAGAACTGATGATCATACTAGTCAATAAGTTAATTGTTCGATTAATTGCAGTCATGGAGATCGTTGGAGTTGAATGGCGGTCGATCATGTCGGTCCTATTCCATGTGCCGTTTTTACTCGGACACTTAATGAATCCTTTAATAGCTTACTTGACACACACATGGTACGGATTTCAGATGGCCGTCTCGATACCGTCAGTATTCCTATTAGCATATTACTGGTACGTTCAACAATTGTATACGACATTACGAAAATTAGTAATATCACCGAATGATCACACAAAAGTCAATTGCAAAATAGGATTATACCAGAATCACCGAGATGGCTACTAGCTGTGGGCAATCCGAGACAAGCGGAACAAATTCTATTGAAAGCTGCCGAACGAAACAAGATACCGGTGGAAAATGTAAAAGTAGCCCTGGAAAATCATGAGAATCAGGCGATGGTTCGACTCGCGAAAAGCAAAGAGAAATACAATATCACACATTTATTCCGAACGCCGTACTTGAGACTGAAAACTATATGTGTGAGCATCAACTGGTTCGTTTGCGGTATCTGTTTCTTTGGTCTGGCGCAATATATGGGTCATATTGATGGCAATATTTTTATTAATGTCGCTGTTTCAGGTAACTCGCATAATATTTTTTAATTATATTAAAGTACATATTGATTTCGATATTAAGATTTTGCATATTGACAAACAACACTTTGTATATTGATGAAACATTCATGTAATTTGTAGCTGCTATGGAACTACCCGGAACTGTAATAGTTTTATTCCTAATATCACGAGTGTCACGTCTGAAGATACTGATAGGAGGAAATATTTTATCGGGCGTGAGTTTACTCTTGATAACACTTGTAACCAACGGGAATGTTAGAGTATTTTTAGCCTCGCTGAGTCTTGTGGGTATGGCTATAAGTTTTCCCACGATATATCTATACAGTGGCGAAGTGTTTCCAACAGTCGTGAGAAATGTTGGCGTCGGTTTGGGAAGTATTTCTGCTAGAATTGGAAGTATGATTGCACCATATATTGCTACAATGGTAATTCATTCTATATACATTATATTATGATTTATGATACATCAATTTTTTTTCTGTTATTTTGTATTCTAACCTTATATATATACAGAGTGTCCCAGAATTGCCATACAATCTCTCGTAGGCAGGTAGAAGGAGTAAAACTGAGTCGAAAAGTTCTGAACCATTTTCTTCTATTACTTGTAATAAAGGAGTAATTATTAAGTAAATCAGGCCAATCAGCGCCGGCCTTTAGCCAGGCGCGCGGCTCACTGACGTGCTCAGGACTTTTCGACTCAGTTTTACTCCTTCTACGGCAATTCTGGGACACTCTGTATATATATTTACAATAATTACAAATATCATACTTGATCTTAAAAATATAATGAAGTTTTCGTTTTGTAATCTTAGATTTGAAAGTCATTATAAAATTTATAGGGCACTATCCAACCTTGGCTGCCACCAGTAGTATTTGGCATAGGTCCAATATTAGGTGCTGCACTCTGTCTATTTTTACCGGAAACAATGAACTGTGAATTACCAGAAACAATTGAAGACGGCGAAAAGTTCGGAAAGTAAGGCTGTATAAATATGTGGATAAATAGTTTTAACAATATTATATTTTAGAAAAATATATTTTAAAGAGAAATTAAATTAATCATATTTAAAAAAATGAATAAGTAGAAGTGTTGTTTATGTATATTTAATAAATAATTTTTATTTCCAGGAAAACAACTGAAGAAAATACATCGAATAATTAGGAAAAATCTATTATTTCGAAGAGATCGCGATAAGATAACGTGTTAATGTTAGTTTATGTCTCGCTAGATTTGTATGCGTCTGTTATACAAGCTATTGGAGTTGATAGCTTATCTGACAAAAGAATGACAATAATTTATTATGCTTTTTTTAAACATATATTGAATCTTGCATAAGTCTTGACTTTTTTTGAGTAATAAATGAAGGCCATGACTTTTGCACGAACCCAATACTTATTTTATGAAAAACTGTGAACAAAAAAAAGAGCTTTTACGTAGAAAACTTTATTTTTAATATTTTATACGAGTAAATTTTGTATAACAATTATACCTTTGCATAATGCATATCATATGTACGTTAACATATTGTTTTACAAATGCTCAATAATATCGTTATGATTAAATTACTAAGATAATTTTGTGCATATATATGTATGTATGTACATATACATATATATGTATTTCTGAGATTCAAATATACAATTCAATCTGCTTTTTGCATCTTACAACCTTTAATAAATATATACTAAATATTACAAATTTTATAAAAGATATATAACAATAGAAAGGTGATAATAAAAGAGTGATAAAAAATATTGTGTGTGTGTGTATACATATGTATATATAAAATATTATATATATATATATAATATATTGTATATATAAAATATTATATTACTATAATAATTTTTTATATAGCTTTATACGGTGCAGTCAATTAGAATGTTTTTAAATAAGTTTAGAACTGCGAATGTTTCTAATGGTTGTGTACGATCATTAAAAAACTTCGTTTCAATGCGTGTTACTCATAGATATAGATCTCATTTTTTAAAATCATACATACTATAACACAAAATATAGTATAAAAATAATATATATTACACGTAAAAATGAGAGTGACAGAAATATTTTTCATGAATATTTTTTTGGTTTTTTTTTTAGAAGAAATACAAGTCTTACTGTATATATTTATATTTAAAAAAATAGTGTACACATACGTAATAAATAGACAAATCAGCCTTTTATGAGTTTCATACGTCAGGTTTAACACGCACGCGGATTTAGGACAAACTATCAAAAGTAAGAGACAGTCTGAACTATGTTATCATTAATATCAGATATACATAGTTCAAGCTGTTGTTTGTCCCAAATAAAGTACTTTGCTGGGCAGCGCACTCACCATCCCGTTGGTCCGCTTTTGCACAGCATCGATCATATTATTGCCATATTTAACAGTGTTACTCAAAGAGCCTAACCAGGAAGACATAATACCTTTTGAGGAAGACTTTTCCGAGTTAGATGTACCTTAAATATTGTTTTATTATATGTACGTGATATAAAAGATACATATCTATCTAACATTACAATATTAAAAGATATAGTTTTTTTATGAAAAAATTATTTTGTACACAAAGAGAGTTAAGTGAGAGAAGTAAGCGGAGTATAACTTACCGATCAAAAATTTTATGATTGCCTCATTTACAGCGTCTGGTTTTTCTTGATGCGGAAAATGCTGTGCATTTGGTATAATCTTCACCCTAAACACTTCTACATGTTCAGAACTCTGAATGATACTCTCTATCTTGAAGAGAGGATCCATATTTCCAATTAACAGCAGCGTTTTATTGTCAATCTGTTCGCCACTGTTTATATTCAATTTTGTAAACGGAAGAGTGCGGTAATAATTGATCGGTCCTGTCCAGTCCTCTAGAAAATGTTGTTTAGAGTTCTTATATGTTTAGGAAGAAGAAAGAGAAGATTAAAAGCAACATCCTCTCAGTTCTTATACGCAGAATAGAAAGAAAGAGAAGTAACAACAATAAATGAGAAGACTATAAAAAATATTTATAACTTACCCTTCCTACTGAAAGTATATTTGTACGCCTCAACGTAATTTCTCTCTACATTATTCTGAGACATTCGTAAATGCTGAAACGTATCGTTAATAATAGACAAGTCTTCCTTAAGCGCATCTATTTCCGGTAGAAATGGCAATCTACTGAAATGTATCCATCTGGAACGGCGTCATCATTTTTCGTTTTAACTACTTAATTATAATTTTATCTTTCAACAATTCATCATACGATATTAGAGTATCTCAATGCGCTTACTTCTTGTCGAACGCGGAATTTCCCGATGCTCTGTTCCAGAAGAAGTTCGGGTGCGGACTCGAAATGGCTACGAATTTGCAAACGAGATCTCCGTGTAGCGCTACCATGTACCATCCCAGAAGTCCTCCCAAATCGTGGCCGATTATATTGCAAGTTCTAACCCCGAAAGTGAAAATGAACTGTTTCAACTCGTTTATCAATATCTCGATTTTGTAAGATCGCTTGTTGAGCGGTTTGTCGCTGTCGCCGAATCCCTTTAAATCTATAGCCACTACCCTGGAACAACGTTCGAACAAAATCGTTATACACTGTCGATAGTTTTGTGTACTTTTTTTTTTATTGCAATATTTTATATAAAAGACTAAACGAAACCTGTAGTGTTCTGCGAGACACGGAATTTGTTCCCGCCAAGATAACCAACAGTCCGGAAAACCGTGCAACAATAATACCAGCGGTTTACTTTTGTTTCCCGCTTCCACGTAATGAAATTTAACACCCTGTATAAAGAGAACAAAAAGAGTATATTAAAGCATACCGCCACGGTAATGACGAGATAAAAAAATAATACACATCGCATCGAGAGAGATAATTTCATTAAATCATCGCAAACATAGCTTTTCTTTTTTATGATTCATAATTTTCCCCTTTCACAGACGGAATTCTCCGTCTCTGCTCTCTAGACCAAACAATAATTCAATATCATCTTATGTTTTTTTAATTTGATAGAAGAAGAAACAATGAACTTTTAACTTAATTGCATTGCATTTGCTATCACAGTACAAGCTAAGAAGTTTTGTGCAAGAAATTTGATAACTTTTATATATATCAAAAGCATGATTCTTCTGCAAATTTTTGTAACAACATTTGTGACACAAATAGTTTTGCTAATAAAGTAATAATTTTAATTAAAAATATTTAATTTAATAATAATTGAATTTTACTTATTTCTACATATATCATGTTATGTAAAAAGGATAATCTAGTTTTTACATGTGTATTTTGTAACGTAAATTATACCAAAAAAAAAAAAAAAATCACAAATTCGCATATCACACTGAATATATATGTATATAATATCCGTTTATCGTTACGCAAATGTGTGCCGCAATGTGTTATTCTTTTGCAAATGTCATCTGGCACTTCATATCATGAGGTGAAGCTGTCGTATGATTTCTGTGTATCGAATTGTGACGTATTCAATTCACCATAATTCGATTATGTCCAAACACACGCCCTACGTACGTGTGTGTATACTAGTCTTATATATATTCAATATATTTTATATCACATTTTTTAAAATCCTATATTTTAAGGCGATTATATATTAAAAGAGAAATAAAAAACAAAATTTACAAAAATTTATAATCATTTACAATATCATATCAATATTTCACAATTAAAAATTAATGATATTTGATAATTGCTGAGAACACACATGTTCAAACGCAATGTAATTCAAACCTGTCTTATTAATGGGAGAAAAAAGTGTTATCTAAGGTCAAGAGGAACATTCCGCACTTGTGTGTATCTTTGTGTACGTACACACATATGTATATAATATTTACGCTACGCGGGCGCCACACATACACATAAGATGCGCGCGAAAGAAATTTGTATCTCTGATCTCACCTTGATCTTCACGTAGGAATGCGTGCCGAGACTATTATCGACCAGGCACGGTGGCGGCTGGTCACGTTGACGCAGCATGAAGAATTTCTTGGGATCCCATAGCCACCGAACGAATCGCTTCGCGATCAGATACAGACCGTAGAAGAATGACAGAAAGTGTAACTCGATCGTTTCGCGTGTTGACGCGCGTACGATTTTATCGTCCGCGGTGACCATGATCGAGAATCGCGAGCGATCTCGGTCGGAGTCCGGTGTCGATCTGCTGTCGATCTACGCAGAAGAAAATCGACGGGAAACAAACGTTGGTACTCGAAATATCCGCTGTGCAAACAACAACCTGCTCTCGACTATCTGGCTGTCTGTATGTGTACGTATCTGTACTACGTTTCGTCTAACGACACGTGCACGTTGTCACGCGCTCAAACACAGTACAATACGTATATTTGCAAACAATACGTTACATGCACAAAGATTTCTCAGCGTTTCCTTCTTCTCAATGACAACAAAACAGCGATTAATACCAGCACACTTAACTCGCACACTTCGAGTATATCGCACAGTTTGTATACGGAAGACAACAACACTTCTGATTGACACCGTTACCTTTTTAATTGTTATTTAATGCAAAGAAATTCCAGTTGCGAACAGCACAGCACGCTGCATGAAATATAAATTATCTTTTGCTTGTGAAAAAGAAAAGAGATATAATGCCAGCACAGCAGTGGCACAATTTTTAATTACTATATAAACAAGACTACAATTGTATTAACAGTTTTTCTGATAGCACACACGAATTTTATACGCGCTCTTGAAATGATGCAACGAGTCTCGAGTAAAAGATCGATTATCTGGCGCCTGGCAAAACTGACGCGTCGCGTAGACCGTGGATCATATGTTGTCGCAGTAGTGGAGATAGGGATATCACTGATGACTGGAGTTTTTTTGAATGTACCACAGCGCAAAAGTTATCGTGCCCAAGTATCCGCGTTCGTAGAAATAGGCGCTTTCATTTAATTTTTACGCGGACGTGTTCACATTTATGTTTATAATTTTATCTATTTTTTTTTTAGAGAAAATCATTTATGAGTCACCGTACATATGATTGAGAATACACAGAGAATTCACACATTTTGAGAACACACACTTTATTTCTTTCAAGTCTTCGCTTCCCATTCATCGTATAGCTGCTCAACTATTTCTTTTTCTTGCCGCACATTGTATAAAATATATATGTTTTGTGAGAAATGAAAGAATCGCAGAATCATCTTGAATCGTTACCAGACAGTTTTTGAACTATGGACTTATATCTCGCTATCTCTTTCTAACTTATTGACGTGACGTATACGGTGTAATATAACGGTATCTATATAATTTCGAAGTATATCTACAATAAGTATATCTCTATAATTCGGAGTACAGATAGAAAGAAAAAATCGTACTTTGACGTGTGACTCATGCACATCAGAAACCGAAAAATTACGAATTTTCATAGAACAGCATTGATTTACACACATATATTTACATTTCTATCACAAATATCTAAATATATTTTGGAGAGAAAGAAAGAAAGAGATAAAAACTTTAAGGTAAAAAATTAATAGACATTTTATTTAAAAAATCCGTGGATTACTTCTGGTAATAGAATTGTCGAACCTTCGAATTATAGTATATAAAAATATATTATGAGAAATATCGATTTTCTGTTAATAAAAATCCAAAATAAAAAGAAATTAACAAGCAAATACAAACCAATAAGTCACTATGTCAGATAAAGACAAATAAATAAAGTTGTAAAAACGTTTCAGCTTTACCTTAAGCCAATGTTTTAGCCGGTAAGATAACAAAACATAAGTAGTCCACAGAACTTCATATCAGCGTCTTCGTCTTGATTAATAATATTGTTTTGTTGTCTTAGCCAATTGAAATGGCTTAAAATAATATAAAAACGAGACGTTCCCGGAATATAATTTATTTGCTTTTATTTGACATTTTTTGTCTGGATAAAAAGAGGATAGATTAGAGATAATGTGTTTAAAGTCTTATATTGTTGAGAAAAATTAATAAGTCAATCGAATTGATCAGAATTAGTCAAACTCGTTCTTATCGACAACGAATAATAATAATCGAAAGACTCATCAGTTCGCGATAATCACGTAATTCGAAGTAAAATGAAGAGAGATAATGTTTTTGTGCAAAAAACAAAAAGTTTCTCAAAAATTGTGGCAAAATTAATGTGGCAGCGGTGGGATTCGAACCCACGCCTCCGAAGAGACTGGTGCCTTAAACCAGCGCCTTAGACCGCTCGGCCACGCTACCAGTTGAGAGCGGGTGGCAACGGAGTACATTTTCACGCAAAATATATGTATATATAAAATTATATACATATACATATATGTATTGTAATATATGTTTTATACGAAAAAAAATTAAAATTTGATAAATATGAAAAATTCAAAAATTAAATACGCTCCACTTTGAGATTTTATGTTACAAAAAAAACATTCAATTCTTATTCAAGTTAATTTTAATTAAGTTCCTTTGCTTAATTATTCATATGTGTACGTATGTATATATACACAAATATATGTATATAATTAAGATAGCAATCATATAATAACAAAATTATTTGTTTTGTTTTTTTAATTTTTATTAAGTTTTTTTTCATAATTATGCACGTATTGTTATACGCACTTTTTTACATTCCCACAATTGTTTTTTGCGCAGTATATTTATAAGATGTCTCTAGTTACGTCACTGTATATACCTTATCGTGGGCGTAGATACGCGCGGATTACACAAAGGCAATCGCCGGGCGGAGCATTCGATCGGCGTGCTCGCACATGCGCCGCCGGAACGGCAAAATTTCGACCCGCGTCACGTCGTAACTCGTCGAGCGAAGCGGAGTGAAGCAGAGCGAGTGTTTGTTACGCGTCTCTCGCCGATTACCGATGAGAGAAAGAGAGACACGAGTGCGTCCCTATTTTTTTCTCCCCCTCGCCCATGCTGCGTCGGCCATTTTGCGCCTCCGGCCGGCTTAATATTCGCCGCTTATTTTCTCCGCTCGCGCGCCTGTAACTCTATATCCGCGCGATGAGGCGCAATTGTCGCGTCGCGCTTTCTTTGTCCGACTTCGCTCGGCGTTAGTTAGCGATCGAGTGTGAGTTCTCATTCTCGCAGATTAGTCATCGATCGGCGGGCGCGATCGGCGATCCACACCACCACCATCACTGTCAACGACAGGTGGTCCTTGCAAATTGAAAATTAATCCAATCAGATCGCGCGCGCGCGCGCGCGCACGGATTCTGTCTGTTTGGACAGAGCGGCAAACGTAGGGTTTCTCTTATCGAACAATGAACGATCGTGCAAACAAAGCGCGGTAACACTTTGCGCTTTGAAAATCCAGTTGCGATCGTACAATTGTCACGAAATACCAGCGGTATTCGGCGCGCGAATTAATTAAATCAATTAAGTTTCTTAAAGACCACGCATGCCAAACCAAAATTAGATTTAAAAGATAATGAAATTGCGTACAGGACAAGACAACGACAATGTAGCGTCTGTAATGAGAGAGTTTTCAGTGAAAAGCAATTCCATTACCGACACACGTGCTCCGAAGAAAAGCATAAATAATTTGTTATCTTGATTTTACAAGAGGCGGAAAGACGCATTCAGTTAAATTCGAGCATCGTTAAACCCTTCACTCACGCGATTTCCTTCTTCGCGGAATTCTGTTTACGCGCGCCGAGCGGAACTATTCGTTCTCGGCTTTGTATTTTCCAGTAACGGTGATTAACCGCAATGCGCTGATTAACCGCGACACGTCTGCGACGACAAAGTCGAGAGCGGATTTCGCTCGGGCGAAGCGCCGAATTAATCATTTCAACAGCTGCTGTCGCATTAGCGGCAGCGGATAAGACAAATGAACGTCGTGGAGCTTGTTAAGACGTAATCCGAGAGATGTGTCTGCGCCGTCTCCCGCTTCCACCTTCGCCTCCGCCTTCATCGTCGTTCCCCGCCGATTCCCGCCATCGCCGTACTACATCCGCCGTCATTTCATCTGGGATTAGACGCTTCTATACCACACGGGTAGCCATTTTCTCCGGCGATCCTCCTTTATCACCTGCCATGCAGATTTTCCTCGCATTCAGACGCGCCCTTTCGTATTTATTCAACAACAACAATTTTATATAGTTGTTGTATATTAAAGTTAACATTTATAACTTATAATAGTAAATGTAAAAAATGTGACATTGTTACTGACCGAGAATAATTATATTTGCTCGTGCCAAATAAAAAAGTCAATTTAAAGAGCAATTAAATTTTATCTGCATGAAGTATGCACGGACGAACATGTGTGTGTGTGAAACTTTTGTGTATCGATTCACAAGGAACGATCGTGTCGTTGAAAGATACAATCGTTTTCGCAGATTGTTCCGGTTGGGGTGGACGTCGAGAAACGACGTGACGATTCATGCGTAGTTGTGGTTCGAAGAGTCTCCGATGACAGATAGTGTCAATGCGGGTACCGTCGACAGACTCACGAAGGAGAATCCACGATGTGATCTTCACCTGGGTCACACGAGCCACGAGCTCGTCGACAACGAGAAATACGATTGCGTCATAAATTTATTTCTCTCACGTTCAGTTTTTTCTCTTATCTAATCTTGTCTTTTCTGATCTTAGAAATATTAAGTCCGCAATATATTGCAATCTTGAATTGCGTAGCAAACGTAATAAATGCGCAATATAATAAATGTGATAAATAATAATCATTGCTATTAGTGCGTGTAAAAAATAAAAAAAGTAGAACGTTTGAAAAAATCAATCGACTTTCTCGATTGATTTGTTAAAACGCGCTACGCTACTCTGTCACGGGGGGGTAAACTTTAATTATCAGCAAGTGCGTTATCAATCAAGTGCGACTCCACGTCGAGCACTTTGTATATAGAAAACGACTTTTCAAATACGGGTACGCATAGTCGACGGCGTTCTTCGATTCTACTTTGCTTTTGTCGACCCGAGTATTGCGCCTCTCCATTTTGTCATCCCCCAGCGGGGTTTCAATGTTGTAACCATGGAGACGTCGCGTTTCCGCAAGGGGAACGTATAAAGGGTGTCGGCTGTACGTACGCAAGTATGGAGAGACAGCCATTGTTAAAACTTACGCACGTATCGCATACACGATGTCGCATTAATAAAATAAAAGTGCGACATTTTGTATTTACTCTATTTACATACACGACAATATTTGTACTAATGTTTATACTGTACTTTTAACGCAATATTAATAATATATATTATTATAAGTGTAACAATATAAAATATTCTGATAAAATTAATATTAATACAAATTAACAATTATAATACTTTATAATTATTTTTTTCGTATCGCATAAAATTTCACACACACACATTCAAGAATAAATTGAAATATAACTTTGTCATATAATTTTGATGAAAATATAAGAGAATGTAATGTAATATTATGCGACTTATATAATTTTGTCGCAGATCTAAGATCATTATATAAGAAATCTTCGATAACGAATGTTAAGTAAGATGGAACGGTTGACAGGAAAATTCGCTCTCGAACCTGTCAATCATCCGGCAGCGTGTCCTCGGCGTTAAATGGCCAATGAGTTTCATAGGAGCCATTAAAGGAGTCCTTGATTCGTAATGAGACACTCAAGGAGAATCTTATGATTATCCACCATTAGGACAATAGAGAATAATAGCAAGAAAAAGAGAGTGAGGCAGAGTTTATCGAACGTTTTGTTCGAGAAACCTTTGCAGTTTCGATTCACTGCGAAGTCTATTTGGAGTTTAATGTTTAATCTTCACTTTTTTTTTCACATTTATAATAATAAACTGCGCATATATATTGCGCGCGTATTTTGAAATTAAATTAATCCCCATTTCCAAACAAACAAATTAAAATTAAATAATTAAACGAATTAAAGTATAAAGAAAAAAAATCCAATTTGCATTGTCAGCACATTATTTTCTGCATTTGTGCAATTTTTACGCCGATTTTGTTCTTAGTATCGTCTGTAAACGCACATATAACGGAGAAAAAAATCCTTTTTATTATTCTGTGCGAAAGAACTGTTTGTTAGTTCTGGGCCATGTCACGAACGCAATTAGTGAGTGATTCGTCAAGCACGGGCGAAGTCCTCCACAATAATAGCAAAGGACCCTCCAGCTGAAGTGTCCTTCCGGTAGTGACTGCATTTTGATTTGCACCCTAGCGCATTTC